AACCATCATGTAAAACAATATACGGGCTCTGTATTAAACTCACTTTCAGGATGGTAGTACCACCCACGGCTAACTGAGCTAATTATAAAAAAAAGTTGGTAACAGTTAACACATATTTAAAGAAAAAGGAAAATAAAAACAAAAAAATTTGGGCGTAATAAAGCGTTTTTGGACTATTTAGAGATATAATTTGAGGGGAAAGACTTAGGATTTTTTCATTTTTAAGGGGGCAACGAAAAACAAGATCATTTATTTTTGTGGTACCTACAGTAAAGAGTAAAGGTAGATAGGTACAAAAAGAATATGATGGGTGGGTAAGAGAGAAGGTAAAGTTAAAAATTTAAAAGGGAGACAGTTTGGGTAAATATATCAGAGGCTGAAGAGGGTTGTTGAAGTGGTTCAGACATTAACAGAGGATGAATTAAATAAAATGACTTGGAAGGTGTATAAATCTGTATGGAGGAAGCACGGTAGGTCGTCCTAGAAAAGTTGGAGGGAGTTAAAAGGTTTTGTGTGCCAGGGCTTAGACCTTCCAGGCTGCAGCATTTATGAGTGTGTAAATGAACTGAGTGAGGTATAAAAACGATTTTTTATAAAATTCAATGTGCTGATTAGCAAACTAACATTGATGAAGGGATTCTGGGAAACCGGTTAGTGGGTTTGAGTCCATGGAGATGGGACCAAGTACAATCCTGCACTCTGAGGACGGGTGGAGAATAGTTACAATTTTTAAACTATAGTATCTGGATGCCTCTGGCAAGACAGTGATGGAATGAGTGATGATAAAAGTGTTTCTTCTTTTTCGGGTCACACTGCCTCGGTGGGTTATGGCTGACGTGTTATAAAAAAATAAGCAACTATCGAGAGAAAAGTGGGCTGAAGAGAGTATGGGTAATGAGGAGAGATCAAGAAGGAATGAAGTATATTTAACCCTTTCACTGATGATGATGTACAGGTACAGCTTACAAGCCAGTGTCAGTGACGTATCAATACGCCAAAACTCTAGCGGCTTCAAATCTAGTGGGGGAAAGCTGGTAGACCTACATGTGAGAGAATGGGTCTGCATGGTCAGTGTGCACAGTACAAAAAAAATCAAGGAGGCCTCGGTGCATTGTCCCAGCGAATTGGGACTCTTCCTTCCCAAGTGATAGTTCTAACACAGATTGAAGTGACGTGAACATGATCTCATGGTTCAGAGTTTGTGCACCAAAAACAATGCCAAGGATACCAGAATAGTGCTGAACCCAGACGACATCGACCTTCACTTTGTGATGGGTCATCTCATTTATGTTATTGTACCAGATAAGAGGAAACCATATTTTCCATGTCTCAAAGAATAGTGCAAATAAGTTTAATTCAGGTATACACAAAATAGTTACATAGATTAATACATAGCGACATATGTTCTCCATTGGGAAGTGGAACAAATTCTTCCTCTGTAGCCATGCAGTCGTAAGAGGCGACTAAATGCGGGAGAAGGCTAGTAACCTTCTCCTGTAATATTACAAATTTAATAAGGTAGAAATCAGTTTATTTCTTTTGGGCCACCCACCTCATGGATATGGCTGGTACGTTGAAAGAAGAAAAGAAAGCAGCATATGTATAGATTACCTAGGATAACCCAAAAAAGTAAGACATAGTGACTTATTTCCATGTGGGTGGCGGGGAAGACAGCATGGTTGGTGAGGAAGACAGCATGGTTGTGAGGAAGGCAGCATGGGTGGTGGGGAAGGCAGCGTGGGTGGTGGGGAAGGCAGTGTGGGTTTGTGTAAACAACATAGCAGCATGTGTGTAGATTACCTAGGATAACCCAAAAAAGTCAAAGTGACTTATTTCCTTGTGAGTGGGTGGGAAGACAGCATGGTTGGTGGGGAAGACAGCATGGTTAGTGGGGGGAAGGCAGTGTGGGTGGTGGAGGAAGGCAGCGTGGTTTGTGTAAACGTGTTTTGTAAACAATATAACGATAACAATGTTTGTACAGTTATTGTGTTGCATATAATGAAGAGATATATATATATACATTACATTATATTGGTCTCACAGGCCACAAAAGTTACTTGAAAAAATAAAATATTAGAAAAGAAAGGAAAAAATAGAATAAAAGTAAAAACAATATTACCGAGTGAGCGGCAGTCATCGGTGTTGCCATAAGCGGTTCACTTTCTGTCAACTTCACTCCTCTATATCTCGGTAAGTACTGATCGCAATTTTTTTTTTCTTTTAAAACAATTAAGAAAGATATTCTTAAGATTTTGGTAAGAAATTTTTTTTTTTTTTTTCAAATATTTTTCAACACTGAGAGCAAGTTTGTAAGCAGAGGTCTTGAGAGTGTAAGGGTTAAGAATGCAGTGTTGGTCTGTGCAGCAGAAGTTTGTGGATATAGGAGGGTGGTAAGGGAGAAAAAGTTGCCTTATGAATGATTCTTATAGTGCAGAAATGATAAAAGGAGGAAGGAGTAAATGGAGAGTAAAAAGAGACAAAAAATGAGTGGTGAGTGGGTGCAAGAAGAGAGCAAATGAGAGAGTGGGAGAAGCTTTATCAACAAATTTTGCTGAGAATATAAACTTCTGGACTGAGATCAACAAGTTGAGAAAGCCTAGGAAACAAATGGATTAAAGTTAAAACCAAAAAAAGGGAAGCTATTAGATGGGCAAATGGAGACACCGGGAAGATGGAGGGAAAATTTTGAGGAATTGTAGAATGTTGATGAACAGAGGTCTACTGTATCATAGGATTTTGTTGTAAATATAATGTTTTACAGTAGTCTAGAAGGCAAACAGTGTAATGGACACAGAATATTTATTTAACCCAGGATATTACTTCAGAGCTAAATTATTTTTTATTTTATTAACACATCGGCCGTCTTCCACCAAGGCAGGATTGCCCGAAAAAGAAAAGCTTTCATCATCATTTGCTCCAACACTGTCTTTCCAGAGGTGTGCTCACACTACAGTTTTTAAACTGCAACATTAACACCCCTCCTTCAGAGTGCAGGCACTGTACTTCCCATCTCCAGGACTCAAGTCCAGCCTGCCGGTTTCCCTGAATCCCTTCATAAATGTTACTTTGCTCACACTCCAACAGCACATCAAGTCCTAAAAACCATTTGTCTCCATTCACTCCTATCTAACACGCTCACACATGCTTGCTGGAAGTCCAAGCCCCTCGCACACAAAACCTCCTTTACCCCCTCCCTTCAACCTTTCCTAGGCCGACCCCTACCCCGCCTTCCCTCCACAACAGATTTATACACTCTCGAAGTCATTCTATTTCCTTCCATCCTCTTTACATGTCTGAACCACCTCAACAACCCTTCTTCAGCCCTTTGGATCATGGTTAGTAATCCCGCACCTCCTCCTAATTTCCAAACTATGAATTCCCTGCATTATATTCACACAGCACATTACTCTCAGACATGACATCTCCACTGCCTCCAGCCTTCTCCTTGTTGCAACATTCACTACCCATGTTTCATACCCACATAAGAGTGTTGGTATATACTCTCATACATTCCCCTCTTTGCTTCCATGGACAAAGTTCTTTGTCTCCACAGACACCTCAGTGCACCAGTCACCTTTTTCCCCTCATCAATTTTGTGATTCACCTCATCTTTATTGACACATCCACTCCAAAATATCTGAATACATTCACCTCCTGCATACTCTCTCCCTCCAATCTGATATTCAGCCTCATTACCTAATTTTTTTTGTTATCCTCATCACCTTACTCTTTCCTATATTCACTTTTAATTTTCTTCTTTGACATGCCCTACCAAACTCATCCAAGTTAAATATATACAATATATAATTAACCTAGGATAACCCAATATACCTGGAGTATACCTGAAGAGGGTTTCAGGGGTCAATGCCCCCATGGCCAGGTCTGTGACCAGTCAAACAATGTGACTTATTTCCATGTTTGAAGTAATAAACATCTTTAAACACATCTACTGTCATTAGAACTATTAAACATAGTGTTAAACATTAAAAGCAATAAAAAAAAAAAATCATAATTTGTTATCAATAAATTGTATAAGAAGTAGGTAGTAGGTTGGTAGACAGCAACCACCCAGGGAGGTACTACCATCCTGCCAAGTGAGTGTAAAACAAAAGCCTGTATTTGTTTTACATGATGGTAGGATTGTTGGTGTCTTATATCTGTCTCGTAAACATGCAAGGTTTCAGGTACGTCTTGCTGCTACTTCTTACACTTCGGTCACACTACACATACATGTACAAGCATATATATACACACCCCTCTGGTTTTTTTTCTATTTTTTTTCTAGTTCTTGTTCTTGTTTATTTCCTCTTATCTCCATGGGGAAGTGGAACAGAATTCTTCCTCCGTAAGCCATGCGTGTTGTAAGAGGCGACTAAAATGCTGGGAGCAAGGGACTAGCAACCTCTTCTCCTGTACAAATTACTAAATTTAAAAAGAGAAACTTTTGTTTTTCTTTTTGGGCCACCCTGTCCTCAGTGGGATACGGCCAGTTTGTTGAAATAAAGAAGAAATTGTATAAGAATACAATGTCTGCACTCTGAAGGAGGGGTGGGGATATCTGCAGTTTGGATGGGCATCTGAACTGTAGTATTAGTGTGCCTCTGGCAAGACAGTGATGTAGTGAATGATGGTGAAAGCATTTCTTTTTTAAGGTCGCCTTACCTCAGTGGGAGACGGCCAGTGTGTTAAAAAATAAATGTAAAACATAAGTATCGCTGGTGCACTTGTGGTACTGTTGCCTGACGAGTAGCCATGTTTTTTGCCACTCATTCTAGTCTTATTTGATTCATAAAAATGCACTCTTTCATTATATAAGATATTTTTTCTTCAAAATCTTCTCCAACACACAGGAATGTTTGTTTCTGGGTGTGCCACAATTTAGGAGTTAATTTATATAACCCATAAATTTAATAAATTACAAGCACATCCACCAAAAAATGTGAAATGATTACCTTGAAATGAAAATGACCAAAAATAAACTGAAATCCAAGACCATTTACCTAAAGCAGGATGTTTATCCTTAAGATGGACCTTGAATGTAGTAGACTGTATTGAGGCATAGTCACAGTATGGACACCGATAAGGTCGTACCCCAGTGTGCTGCATCTTGTGGCGTCGCAAAGAATTGTGATCAGAGGTGCAGTACTTGCATTTTTCACAAGCAAATGGCTTCTCACCTGAAACATTGCCAAAGCTTAGTACTGCAAAATAAAATTTACAACCAATACATAGAGTTGGATTTATCTTTTAATATTTTAACGTGAAGACCCTTGGTATGATGGTAACGAGAGAGAAAACAAGAGCTCAAGAAAGTTATGCACCAAAGTCACTACCAATTTAAAAATTAATTTAAAACACTAAATTTTTTAGGCTTCATATATTATAATCATATGATAAAACCTCATAGATAATGTTAATGGAATTAAATCTTCATGTGAACTTACTCAGAAACATAAAATGCCCAAGAGAGCAGATTATTTTGGAGGTAATGCAAAATATGGTCTTGCTTTTAACAATGAGACACTTCTGATGAAAGACTAAGAAAGACTAGATGTTCTGGCCAATGGTAATAATTTAACATATTATTTTATTAGGCCAGAGAGAACTGCAAGGGTGGAGCTCCCTAAAGCCTACAAGATTGTGTTACTGCTTAATAAATACCTCAGCTCACCCATCAGCAGACTGCTTTGTTTAAACCACATCCTTTGAGCCTATATGCCACCTAATTAGAAAATCACTAACCTAGTGTTAAAGAGCATATCCTGAACATGAGAATGGTATGGAATGCATTTGCAACAGGTATAATTAAATGAAGAAAACCCACACTGCTGTCATAGCTACTTCTCTCCTAATCTAAAATCCATTAATTTTGTCTTTATATCTGTCCATGTCTGGTGCCAGTAATTCCTTCAAGAAGAGAAGTAGGCTTGTACATAGAGTAATCATTACTATATAAATTTCTAAACCAATTACTGGTTGCTTTTATCAGTGCTGGTCACTGTATTACAGAATGGATATAAATGCACTAGAAAACATGCAGAGGAGGATGACAAAGTTGATCTCATGTATCAGAAATCTTCACTATAAGGATAGACTGAGGGCCCTGAATCTGCACTCTCTAGAAAGACATAGAATTAGGGGAGATATGATTGAGGTGCATAAATGGAAAACAGGAATAAATAAAGGGGATGTAAATAACATGCTAAAAATATCTAACCAAGACAGGACTTGCAGAAATGCTTTAAAGTTGGAAAAATTCAGATTCAGGAAGGACATAGGAAAGCAGTGGTTTGGTAACAGAGTTGTGGATGTGTGGAACAAATTCCTGAGTACCGTCATAGAAGCTAAGACGTTGTGTAGTTTTAAAAAGAGGTTGAATAAATACATGAGTGGATGTGGGTGGATGTGAGTTGCACCTGACTAGCTTGCGCTAATAGGTCTGATGCCGTGCTCCTTCCTTAAGTGGATGTGACCTGACCTGACTAGGTGGATCAATGGTTTAAGCCGGGAGGTGACGTGGATCTGCCTTGCATAGGCCAGAAGGCCTGCTGCAGTGTTCCTTCTTTTTTTATGTTCTTTTAACCCAATTTTTCCAGCACCTTCTTCACTTTCAACAGAATAAATTTGTTGAATGCTACTGTGATTTTCAGGAACATAATCATCATGTTTTACTTTACTGTACAGCCTCTTCTCACTTAACAATGGAGTTCCGTTCCTAAGACCTTGTCGGTAAATGAATTCATCACTAAGTGAGGAGCATACTATAATGGTAGTGGGTTTATAAAAACTATCTTTGATATTGTTTTAATGTCACCTTTGCACCATTTATAACACTTCTGGTATATTTTTTAAATATTTATACAGTAGTGTACTATATACTGTAATAAACAGAATAGAGAAAATCAGTTCTAATATACATTTTTTAGGTATGCATACTGGTCAGAGAGCCCACTGTAAGTCTGAGTCATCAGTAAATGAGTACATCGCTAAGTGAGGAGAGGCTGTATTTACAATCTTGGGCAACCACTGGGGACAGGGACATGGGCAGTCACTTGTTCCCTCACAGGAGCAGGCCAGTGCCAAGGAAAAACAATAATATTGATATTCCTTACCTATACCCCTTGTCCCCATGTCTTCCCAGGAAAATATCCAGTGAACACCCATACTTACAATACAAAAAAAAGTCTGTACTGTAGGCCTCATACGTACAATATCAGTACTTCAGAACTAAGTTAATTAATTACTGATCTCCAGTGGCAATTATTGTCAATAGTCAAATTATTTTCAATAAGGAATGTCAGTTTTTCACAGAATGCATCATTTATACTTAATACATGTAGCAAGCACTATAGCTGTTCAACAGAGATTGGTCAAGAGCTACTAATTTAATATTCATTATTTTCTTAAGGTTGAATTATAAAAAGAATTCTTGGTTAGCTTCTACTAAATGCATTGGTATTTTGTGTATGATCTTGTTATGCACATGCAGTGAGTTCATTATTTTGCTGGAGTTTAGTTAGGAACTACAGTAGGGCCCCATTTATACGGCAGATTAAGTTCCAGGCTACCGCCGTAAAGCGGAAATCGCCATAAAGTGGAACACCTCTTTTTTCCACTTATAAATGCATACAAATACTAGATAACAAGATTACACTAACACATATTAAGTTAGTAAGTAAGTTTATTCAGATATACACAAATGCAATTACATAGATTATCATACATAGCAGCATATGTGTAAGGTACCTAGGATAACCCAAAAAAGTCAGACTGTGTGACTTATTTCCATTGGGGTTAGCAGTAGAACTAGGCATTAAAAAACAATAAAAAAGTAAAATACACATATAGTACACTCATTACTTACCTTAAAATATTTGTAGTCTTAATCTAGAGTGAGACAAGTAGTATTTATTGTAAGAAATCAAATGTGGTATGTATGGTAACCAGCCGGGCTACCATACCAGACCACCCCATCTACACATAATATTCTATAACATTTAAGCATCCCAGAGCGATAAAATGCATATACAGTTCATCATTACTTACCTTAAAATATTTGTAGTCTTAATGTAGGGTCAGAGGTGAGTAAACGAGATAAAACAAATAAATGAGAGAAAGAGAGAACGAGTACATGAGAGAGGACAGTCATGGAGTTATGTAAACAAACCAGGCGAACATGAGTTACGTAAACAAACAAAGTGTACACATCTGGTTTGTGTACAAGTTACATTGTGTACAAGTTACATTGTGTACAAGTTGTCTCTACATTGATACGGTAGAATAAATAAAGAAGAACACTCCCATTCTCATGTAACACCATTTTTTAGAAGAAATGATGCTCTGAGTGAAGGTATACAGTTACTCCCAGTAACACATTTTCTCTTATGCTGGACTAGAGAAAATGTTATTCTTACCGTAACTTGTCAGTTGTCTGGCTCTCACATCTCATATTTATATTTATTTATTCTACTGTGGGGTGTATTTATCATGTTTATATGTCATGTATCGTGTTTATTATATAATTTTGAAAAAATATCATAGCTGGATTAATAAAAATGTGTACATTAACATAATATACGACATTTAATGAGACTCGGTGATTATTATTATTATCATTACTAATATGGTGTCACTCGTATAAATCGTCTGGCTCCCACATCTCACATTTATGTTTATTTATTCTACTGTGGGGTGTATTTATCATCTTTATATGTTATGTATCATGTTTCTTATATAATTTTGAAAAAATATCATACATGGATTAATGAAAATAATAATCAATAATAATCATTGAGTATCATTAAATGTCATGTATTACGTTAATACATGACATTTAATGAGACTCAATGATTATTATTGAGTATTATTATCACTATTAATATGGCATCTCGAGACATAAGACACTCTTACTGATTTTAATGTGTACCTGCACACCAGCACAGTGTTTAAGTTTATTTAGGTACAGGTATACATAAGTATAATTATCAGAGTATATATAAAACAGTGATTATGTGTGAGTGAGGTGAAAGTGTTGAATGATGATGAAAGTATTTTCTTTTTGGGGATTTTCTTTCTTTTTGGGTCACTCTGCCTCGGTGGGAGACAGCCGAATTAAAAAAAAAATTATAAAATGTGAAATAACTTTTAAAAACACTTGAAATTTTTGAGTTTCCAGACACAATGGAGAGACGTGGTGCTTACGGAGGTCATGGAGAATGTAAACAGAGTGGGGTGCGGTGATCATATTAGAAAGTCAGGTGGGGGAGCCGTATAAAGAGTTTAGATCATAATTTGAAATGACCGTATTAGTGGAACACCGTAAGGCAAAACGCCGTAAAGCGGGGCCCTACTGTATATATTAACTCTTTGAGGGTTTCGGCCATACTAGTACAGCTTACAACCCAGGGTTTTTGACGTACTAGTACACCTAAATTCTAGCACCCTCAAATCTAGTGGGAGAAAGCTGGTAGGCCTACATATGAAAGAATGGGTCTATGTGGTCAGTGCGCACAGTATAAAAAAAATCCTGCAGCACACAGTGCATAATGAGAAAAAAAAACTTTGACCGCTTTTTTGGAATAAAACAGCGACTTTGCACCGTATTTTCGTATGGTATTTATTGTTGTATTCTAGTTTTCTTGGTCTCATTTTATAGAATGGAAGACATATTACAGAAATTGAGATGATTTTGACTAATTTTACAATGAAAAGTACCTTGAAATTGAGCTCAAAGTAGCAGAAATGTTCGATTTTTACCAAAGTACAAAAGTAAACAAATCATGCCAAGCGTCCAATACTCGTCAACTGGTGAGTCTAATATTCTTTCGCAAGTGCGCCAATATTATTTATACCATTTTTTACACTAATGCAGTAGTCTGCATAACAGTAAATCTTCTATTTTTTGTGAGAATAAAAATTCAAAGTGGAAAGCAAAAGAATGTAAGAGGGGCCTTGAGACGTGACTAATGAACAGAGGAAATGTCATTTTAGTGCCAGGAATGTCTTTCTTGTTTGTTATGGACCCTATTCAGAAATTGGCATCTTTTGAAATTTGTGTGAAATTGGCAAAATTGCTAAATTCTGACCACTGTACTGGTTAGTTGAAATTGGTAAATGGGTGGTTTCTTGTACTCATTCGATAGAAAAAATGAAGTTCTAGCGAAATATTCATGTTTTTTGTCGACTAGTACAGTGGAATTGGCCAAAAATGGGGCTCAAAGTGGGCAAAATCGCCGATGCGTAAACATCGCCAAGACCACTAACTTCGCGAGAGCATAATTCCGTAAGTTTTCCATCAAATTTCATACTTTTGGTGTCATTATGATCGGGAAAAGATTCTCTATCTTTTCATAAGAATTTTTTTTTTTTTAAATTTGGCCGACCCTGAGATCGAGTCTCGTAGAGGGCCTGTCGACCCTCAAAGGGTTAAACCACTACATTGTTTGGCTGGATTGTGACAGCCATTTCTAGATGATGCCAGTGTAGTGAATGTGTATGTGAGGTGCAGAACAGTGGGAGTTCTGCTCACTCATGCCACACCCTCCCTCACACATTTACCCCTCACCACTACCTTTGTGTATGCTATATACCCTGGCAGATCATTCCGTCACCAAAACAAAGGAGTGGAGAGCATTTGTAAAGTCTTGAGTAAGATATGATGCAAAGAGAAGTGAGAAAGAGGAGCACAATGAGGAAGTGGTGTAGAGGATACTACATCATGGAATATTAGTGGGGGATAGTAATGGTCTACACATCTGTACTGTTTACTGTATTGTAGCTCTGTTCTCTTTAATTAACATGTATTCATTAATTAAACTGTGTTTAATACTAAAGTACTGATGAGAAGCAGCAATATTGAATGTAAAATATTGTGTAAACATTCTTAGATAAAATAAAATGAAATTATGAAAAATTATGACCCGAATTCCAAACAATTAACTTAAAATTTTTAAGAACACATTAATGGCGTATGTGTGAGCCTACAGTACTAGAAAGAGAGAGAATCTCCTGAAAATTATTGAAAACATTTATCATCATATATCACCTGTGTGTTGCCTCATGTGCATTTTGAGAGTTGATCTGGAAGCAGTGGAATAGCCACAGTAATTGCACAGAAAGGGTTTCACTTTCTTATGAACTGATTCTTGGTGGTTGTGCAACATTCGCTTCTCCGAAAACGGCCTCAGGCATATCTCACACTGATGCTGATAAGGTGATTTTTTCATGTGCAGAGCCTATGAAAAGAAATGGTTTACTGCAGTGAAGCATCAAGATACACTATACTGTCTTCTGACATTGCAGCTCAAATTCTGACACTGACCACTGAGAATATTAAAAAAAAAAAACTAGAGATAAATTTACTTTTATCAAAACAAAAACAAATACTATATAGTAAAATTAATAAAACTAGAAGCAGAAAGGATCATTAATAAAATGACAGGTGTAAGTGCTGGAGGACGAATGATCCTTGCCAAGTTGTGAACACACACCACAGCCTCACCACCTTGCCAAGCTGTGAACACACACCACAGCCTCACCACCTTGCCAAGCTGTGAACACACACCACAGCCTCACCTCCTTGACAAGTTGTGAACACACACCACAGTCTCACCTCCTTGACAAGTTGTGAACACACACACAACAGTCTCACCTCCTTGACAAGTTGTGAACACACACACCACAGTCTTACCTCCTTGACAAGTTGTGAACACACACACCACAGCCTCACCTCCTTGACAAGTTGTGAACACACACACCACAGTCTCACCTCCTTGACAAGTTGTGAACACACACCACAGTCTCACCTCCTTGACAAGTTGTGAACACACACCACAGCCTCACCTCCTTGGCAAGTTGTAAACACACACCACAGCCTCACCTCCTTGACAAGTTGTGAACACACACCACAGCCTCACCTCCTTGACAAGTTGTGAACACACACCACAGCCTCACCTCCTTGACAAGTTGTGAACACACACCACAGCCTCACCTCCTTGACAAGTTGTGAACACACACCACAGCTTCACCTCCTTGACAAGTTGTAAACACACACCACAGCCTCACCTCCTTGACAAGTTATGAACACACACCACAGTCTCACCTCCTTGACAAGTTGTGAACACACACCACAGCCTCACCTCCTTGACAAGTTGTGAACACACACCACAGCTTCACCTCCTTGACAAGTTGTGAACACACACCACAGCTTCACCTCCTTGACAAGTTGTGAACACACACCACAGCTTCACCTCCTTGACAAGTTGTGAACACACACCACAGCCACCATTCCTCACACATCATCACGAATTGCACTACTCCATATTATTATATTTATGAGAAATTGCTAAGTTCGTAGAGATCATATAGCTCCTGGGGATTGGGAGGTAGTCAGGTCTGATCCAAGAAAAAGGAGAATTTCTCTTAATTCCCTGGATCAAAAGCACTTCACCATCATCAAGGCACTCCATTACCCTAATAAAGGTTAAACAGATGTACTCTGCAGACAGGGCAACTATGGTGTCATGGCAGGAAACATTAGTTCTAGTGATTTAGATGCTGTTATGCAAACACCACTGAAAATACACCAGTGTTATGACTAAATAGTAGCATCATGGTGGTGAGTAATGTATGACAGCATCATGGTGGTGAGTAATGCATGATAACATCATAGTGGTGAGTAATGTATAATAGCAACATAATGGTGAGTAAACTCTGGAAACATCATAGTTGTTAGCAATCTATGGAAGCATTATGGTGGTTAGTAATCTCTGGTAGATAGCCTCACATTGGTGATTAAGCTATAGTAGCATCATGGTGGTGAGTAATCTACAGAAACACTATGGTGGTGAGCAATCTATAGTAGATAACTTCGTGCAGGTAAGTAATGTGTGCTAGGCAGCAATAAGATGTGAAGCATTTATGATAGGTATAATCCAAGTTACATTTTTTAGCAAATAGCTATCATAAGAGTATTTAAGCAAACTTCATCAGTGACAATGCTTACCTTATGATTGCGCAACTGTTTGGCACTTTTAAAACACTTTCCACATGTGTCACACAGAGAGGGTCGCTCATCACTGTGTATTTTATGATGAACATTCATCAACTTGGTGTAACTGTTGGAATAATAAAAGCTGAATCACCACATGCTATTGTAGAAATAACTACCAACTTGATTGGTGAGGGGTAATATAAAAATAGCCCCCCCCCTGTCTACCACACCACCTTCTGAAGTGGACTATTTTATAGAACTGCATTACAATAAAAGGAACTCTAAGTGTCTCCCTAAAATGGAAAATTATAATTCACATCAAAACCATCAAGAAGTTATTTTTGCAAAGCAATATAGGGTCCTAATGTTTATAGCTGTATCAACTCAAAAGCAATCTGGATATCTGGATGAAGTATAATTTTAATTACTTAAAGTAATGACCCTACACAATACAGAAATGCAGCAGCTAAATACCAATTTAGGTTGGGGGATCCAAATTTACAAATCACATAAAATAAATCAACAATTTGTTTAAACCTTTAACTATTTCAGGATGTAGAAGAGAAGCACAGAGACTCTATACAAATTTGAAAAATTCAAGAAGAATGTGAAAAATTAACTAGCACTTTCCTACACAAAAAAAAAAAAAAATTTAAATACAATATTTGTAACAAAATAATTTCATAATATTCATGGAAAATGAAAAACATTAGCAGGAGCATCTAAATCAGTTTCACAACCACACAACATATGAATGTGCTGCATGAACAAGTGTGCAATCAGCCATCTCCCCACTATGGGGTGTTGGCACCAGATGGTGACTGCAATCGTCCATCCTAACCCAAGAATGATGCAGTCAATCCAGAATACATAAATTGTTTCTCCTTGGGAGCCACAGACGGATTATCATTTGATTACAACCTGTGTCAGTACAGTTATCATGACAAATCTCAAAAGAAAAAAAAAAAGTATCCAAAATGTACATATTTGAAAAATAAATCAATGAAAAATGTGTCCTAACATACAACATTTTATAAGAAAAAAAATCATGATTATAAAATAATTCCAGTTTTGTAATGGAATGAAAAAAATGTGGTCTTAGGAATAGCTTTAGTTATGTAGATAAATGTTTCAGAGAGCTGACAGGTTGATGAATTAGACACATGTGCAACACTTGAGTGAGAGACTGATTACCTCAAACTCCTTCTGATCTTCACCATTCTTCTTTGTTTAGGACTGATGAGGCCACTGTGTGGCAAAACGTTTCCTCAATAAAGATACCCAAGTGCTGCACACGTCTAATTCATCGGATTTAGCAATATTTAATATACTAGTCATTATAATATATGCAAAAAATTACCAGTGTTTTTGTAACTATACCAGTTAGCCTGAAAGTGGTTAGTATAGTGCCTGAACTCTGAAGGAAGGGTGGGGATATTTGCAGTATGGAGGGGCATCTGAACTGTAGTATCAGCATCCCTCTGACAAGACACTGATGTGTGAATGATGACGAAAGTGTTTTCTTTTTCAGGTCATCCTACCTCGGTGGGAGACAACCCACTTTTTAACCCTTTCAGGGTCCGTCCCGTAGATCTACGGCTTTATGGTGAGTGTCCAAACCTTAGATCTACGCCATGAGCTCAGCTCACTCTGATAAACTGTGAGTGGTACATTTGGGCCTAGATATGAGAGAATACATCTGTGTGGTATGTGTGCACCACATAAAACAGATCCTGCAGCACACTGTGTATAATGAGAGAAAAAAACTGAAATCATGATTTTTCGATTAAAACAGCAACTTTGCAGTGTTTTTTCGTATGTTTTTTATAGTTGTATTTGCGATTTCTTGGTCTCATTTGATAGAATGGAAGACATATTACAGAAATAGAGATGATTTTTGATTGGTTTTAGCACTGGAAATGGCTTGAAACTGAGCTCAAAGTAGCGGAAATGTTAAATTTTTGCCGATATTCAAGAGTAAACAAACGACCTCACACATCTAATACACGTCAGCTGGTGGGTCTAATATACATTCACAAATATGGTGATGATATTTATACAATTATTACAGTATTGCATAACAGTAAATCTTCTATTTTTTGGTGTGAATAAAAATTCATTATGTGAATAAAAAATCAAAATGAAATTTATTTGTAAAGCCTCAAAATGTAACTAATGAACAGAGGAAATGTTTGTTTAGTTCCAGGAATACCTACATTGTTTATTCTGGAGCCTATTTTGAAATTGGAATACGTATTTTGAACTTTGTGTTAAATTGGCCAAATTAACAATTTCCGATCACTTTATTTTGTAGTTGAGACAGTTGATTTGGCGATTTCTTGTGCTCAATCGATAGAATAGAAGTAATACTAGTGAAATAGCTAAGAATTTGGTTGATTGGAATAATGTAATTGGCCTAAAATGGGAGTCAAAGTTGGCAAAATCGCCGACTCGTAAATATCGCTGACACATCAAAATTCGCGAGAGCATAATTTCGTCAATTTTCCACCAAATTTTGTACTTTTTGTTTTATTACCTTCACAAAAAGATTCTCTACGATTTCATAAGAAAAAATAAAAAATTTTTTTTGTTGAAAATTCTTGGACACTGGTGCGTAACTTCAGATTTTGGCCTTGAACCCTGAAAGGGTTAAGGAAAATCAATGCTGCATGTAAACATCTTATGGCCTCTTTTTAATATAAAAACTTATTCTAGCACTTTCTTTTTTTTCATGAAGAAATGACACTTGTTAGCAAACAACAGTGATGCTTCATTTGATGGGTGCAGTAGATGCAAATAATCAAATTATTTTCAATAAAAAAAAAATATTTTTTACCAAATGCTTTCATTTTGTACATGTTCATTTTTAAAACTGAATTATAAACAAATTTTTCCTCAATTATTTTTTACCACATGCATTGATATAATGTGCATGCTCATGTTATGCATAAATGGTGAGCTCACACCTGATTGGTAGAAAATAGTCAAAACTAAAGATTTAATAATTAGGTAAGCTTGTTTGTCGAGCAGTGGCTGGCAGTGTCCATTAAGTGATTGATGGTTTTTAACCCTTTGAGGGTCGACAGGCCCTCTCCGAAACTCGTTCTCAGGGTCGGCCAAATTTAAAAAAAAAAAAATTATTTCTCTTATCAAAAGATAGAGAATCTTTTCCCGATCATAAAGACACCAAAAGTTTGAAATTTGATAGAAAACTTACGGAATTATGCTCTCGCAAAGTTAGCGGTCTCGGCGATGTTTACGCATTGGCGATTTTGCCCACTTTGAGCCCCATTTTCGGCCAATTTCACTGTACTAGTCGACAAAAAACATGAATATTTCGCTAGAACTCCATTTTTTCTATGATGGGGGCAAGAAAAACCCCCCATTTATGAAATTCAACATCCCCGTACAGTGGTCAGAATTTTTGCAATTTTGCCCCTTTCACACAAATTTCAAAAGATGCCAATTTCGGAATAGGGTCCAGAATAACAAGAAAGACATTCTGGCACTAAAATGACATTTTCCCCTAGTCTTATCACGTCTCAAGGCCCCCTTATATTCTTTTGCTTCCACTTTGAATTTTTATTCTCACAAAAATATAAGATTTACTGTTATGCAGACTACTGCATTAGTGTAAAAAAATGGTATAAATATTATTGGTGTACTTGTGAAAGAATATTAGACTCACCAGTTGACTGTATTGCACGCTTGGCACGATTTGTTTACTTTGAAGTTTGGTAAAAATCGAACATTTCTGCTACTTTGAGCTCAATTTCAAGGCACCTTTCATTGTAAAACCATCAAAATCATCTCAATTTCTGTAATATATCTTCCATTCTATAAAAAGAGACCAAGAAAACTAGAATACAACAATAAATACCATACGAAAATACACTGCAAAATCGCTGATTTATTGCAAAAAAATGGTCAAAGTTTTTTTTTCTCATTATGCACTGTGTGCTGCAGGATTTTTTTTAGACTGTGCACACTGACCACATAGACCCATTCTTTCATATGAAGGCCTACCAGCTTTCTCCCACTAGATTTGAGGCCGCTAGAATTTATGCGTACTAGTACGTCAAAAACCCCTACGCGTAAGACGTACTAGTACGACCAAAACCCTCAAAGGGTAAAGTGGCATCTAACTTCAGCTTACAGCCACCTTACACCACCACCCCCCTTTCCCTCTACACAACCCAAGCACTACACAAATAACTCACACATAGGAGAGGAAGAGCTTTCGAAGACGTTTCGGTCCAACTTGAACCATTTATTATACTTTTCTGTTCTTTACAAACCCGCGCACCTGATACCTTCATCATACCAATGAGTGTGTTCAGATTATATGTAACAAATGTTGTGTTAGATGCAATATTAGTGAGGAAGATAGTCCTACTGCTGCTGCCCATGTAATATTGTGTCAGGTGCAATGTGAGAATAGGAAAGAGAGGCAGTCCCATTGATGTTGTCTTTGCAGTGTTGTCAGATGTGATGTGAAAGTAGTTAAGCAAATTAAAGTTTTGAGCTTCAAACACTTGAGTAACAAGCATTCTGTGTCCATAGCACATGTGCATCTATAATATGGAAATAAGTCACCCTGACTTTATTAAGTTAAGTTTTTTTTTTATTATCACACCGGCCGATTCCCACCAAGGCAGGGTGGCCCGAAAAAGAAAAACTTTCACCATCATTCACTCCATCACTGTCTTGCCAGAAGGGTGCTTTACACTACAGTTTTTAAACTGCAACATTAACACCCCTCCTTCAGAGTGCAGGCACTGTACTTCCCATCTCCAGGACTCAAGTCCGGCCTGCCGGTTTCCCTGAATCCCTTCATAAATGTTACTTTGCTCACACTCCAACAGCACGTCAAGTATTAAAAACCATTTGTCTCCATTCACTCCTATCAAACAAAGCTCACCCCATGCCTGCTGGAAGTCCAAGCCCCTCGCACACAAAACCTCCTTTACCCCCTCCCTCCAACCCTTCCTAGGCCGACCCCCTACCCCGCCTTCCTTCCACTACAGACTGATAAAACCCCTTGAAGTCATTCTGTTTCGCTCCATTTTCTCTACAAAGTCCGAACCACCTCAACAACCCCTTTCCTCAGCCCTCTGGACAACATTTTGGTAACCCCGCACCTCCTCCTAACTTCCAAAC